GACTACTTCAATTCTGTTTCCTTATCCGCTGGAAATATATGCAGCAGACGTGGAGTTAAATTAGGATACTTCCTTTTTCTTCTTTTGATAGTTTCCAAAGAGGACAGAGATCAACAACGACTAGAACTCTGTTCCTTTGCTTTTGGGTAGCCGTTTAGGAGTAAGGAATTAGGTATGGAATAGAGAGGAGAAGAAAAGCAGACCATCTTGATTACTCTTTAGCTTTTGACTTTTTCGTATTATTCATTGTTTTTTCAATTATTCATTCGGATTGATCATCTCAATCGAGAGACGATGTATGCAACAATTAATTCTAAAGTTGTGCTTGAAATTTTCTCCATAAAAATGAACTAAATCTCTTTTTTTTTAGTCAAGGAATAACGGAGGTTTTGGTTCATCTAAAAATTATGAGATCGAATTAATTTTATTTATTCCTCTTATTTACTAGTATTTGCATATTCTCTAATTGTATTGCTTATGGTTGTTTTATTAATTGAATATCCTAGACCCATACATTGAATTAATTTAGCAACTTAAATGTCAATTAGAGTATTAAATTCGTAATTGTTTAATTGCTCTAAAATAGTAGTAACTGACATAATTGGGTTTGTGTCAAGAAAATACGCAGGCTAATCTAAAATAACCTTGGTAGCGTATTATTTGGTTAGAATAAGACTCCTCTAATACTTAAGACAATTGAAAAATTAAATTTTACGGGCGTACCTAAGATTATTTTTTGATTAGAGTAGTGATTAACGAGCGTACTTTAGCCACTGACATAGTAAGGAGGAGTTGACTGTCATCGCTTGTTTGACAGTTATAACTTATTTATTAGTTAATAATTGGAATTACTTTTGCATCGACGATTTAATTATTTATTGGTTAGAGTTTAGTCATTATTAATTTGATTTTAATAGTTTGTCATTTAATCCTTAGTCGGTTATCTATTTTTTATTCGAATCGTTTAATTATTACCATTGCTATAAAAAAAATCCCATTGTCAATTTGAAACTTCAAAGAGACACCCAATAACTGTGGATTCGAGTCTACTTATCACTATTTATAGAAATTATATTTTGTTTGAGCAGGTATTTATTGTTGTATAGACTCGATAACCTGTCAATTACTCTCTGAGACTAATTAAAACAATTGTAATAGTAGTATTATGATTTCATCTTAAGCAGCAAAAAAAAGAAGAAAATTCATAAAGAAAGCTAACCGAGGTGATGTTTCTTGGATTTTGACCATTGATGTTTAATATGTGTTTTCTCGGTATCTTAACAATAGGAGGATGGAGTGATAGCCATTATCAGGAATTGGTGTTTGTTTGCTATTCTCATACTTGAGAACAAGTATGGTATAGGTGTGGGGGAGAATTGATAAGTCACAATTTTGTCATTTATTTTATAATTATTTCCCTCCTATTATATTGCCAAGTGTGCATTAATCGACGGATTCTACTCATTTTTGAAAATTTGTATTTATTGTAGGGGGTTAGAATAAAATATGGTAAAAGGGCGCAAATTTCTTGATACATCTGCTAATTGATGCAATTGCTGGCCATATATCCTCGGTGAACAGGAGGTGCGCAGAATTAGTTCTTGTGACAACAAGTAAAGGCGTCGTGTAGCAGTCAACAAGGTGGAGACTACTTCAATTCTGTTTGCTTATCTAGTGAAAATATGCGGCAAACGTGAAGTCAAATTAGGACATTTTTTTTTTCTTCTTTTGGTAGTTTCCAAAGAGGACAAAGATCAACAAAGACTAGGACTCTGTTCCTTTGTTTTTGGGTAGCCGTATAGGAGTAGGGAATTAGGTAGGGTATAGAGAGGAGAAGAATAGTAGACCATCTTGATTACCCTTTGGCTTTTGACTTTTTCGTATTATTCATTGTTCTTTTAATTATTCATTCGAATTGATTATCTCAATTGAGATATGATGTATGCAACAATTAACTCTACAGTTGTGCGTGGGATTTTTTCCACAGAGATAAACTAAATCTTTTTTTCTAGTCAAACAACAATGGAGGTTTTAGTTCATCTAAAAATTATGAGATCAAATTAATTTTATTTATTTCTCTTATTTACTGGTATTTGTATATTTTCTGATTGTAGTGTTTATGGTTGTTTTATTAATTGAGTATCTTGGTCCTGGACGTTGAATTAATTTAACAACCTAAATGTCAATTAGAGCGTTAAATCCGTAATTGTTTAATTGATTTAAAATAGTAGTAACTGGCATGATTGGGTTTGTGTCAGGGAAATATGCAGGCTAATTTGAAATAACCTTGGTAGCGTGTTATTTGATTAGAATAAGACTCATCTAATACTTAAGGCAATTGAAAAATTAAATTTTACGGGCGTACCTAAGATTATTTTTCGATTAGAGTAGTAATTAACGGACGTACTTTAGCCACTGACACAGTAAGGAGGAGTTGACTGTCATCGCTTGTTTGACAGCTATAACTTATTTATTAGTTAATAATTAAAATTACTTTTGCATCGATGATCAATTAGGTGAATCATTGCCGAAACTATTTCTTGACTAGAGTTAAGTCATTATTAATTTGATTTTAATAGTTTGTCATTTAATTTTTAGTCGATTATCTATTTTTTATTCCAACTGTTTAATTATTGCCATTGCTATTAAAAAAAAACCCCATTGTCAATTTAAACTTCAAAAGAGACAAATATCCCAAGTGCCTATGGATTCGACCTTACTTATCACTATCTACAGAAATTATATTTTGTTTAAGCAGGTATTTATTATTGCACAAGTTCAACAACCTTTCAATTACTCTCTAAGACTAATTAGAACAATTGTAGTAGTAGTATTATGATTTCATCTTAAGCCACAAAAAGAAGAAGAAAATTTATAAAGAAAGCTAATCGAGGTGATGTTTTTTGGATTTTGACAATTGATACTTGATATGCGTTTTCTCGGTATCTTGGCAATAGGAAGATGGAGTGATAGCCATTATCAGGAATTGGTATTTGTTTGCTATTCTCATACTTGAGAATAAGCATAATCTAGATGTGACGGAAATTGCTGAGTCACAATTTTGTCATTTATTTTATAATTAATTTCCTCCTATTATATTGCCAAGCGTTCATTAATCGGCAGATTCTACTCACTTTTGAAAATTTGTATTTATTGTAGGGAGATGGAATAAAATATGGTAAAAGGGCGCAAATTCCTCGCTACATCTGCTAATTGATACAATTGCTGGCCATATATCCTCGGTGAACAGGAGGTGTGCAGAATTACTTCCTGTGACAACAAGTAAAGGCATCGTGTAGCAGTCAACAAGGTGGAGACTACTTCAATTCTGTTTCCTTATCCAGTGAAAATATGCGGCAGACGTGTAGTCAAATTAGGACACTTCCTTTTTCTTCTTTTGGTAGTTTCCAAAGAGGACAGAGATCAACAAAGACTAGGACTCTTTTCCTTTGCTTTTGGAGGGTAGCCGTATAGGAGTAGGGAATTAGGTAGGGAATAGAGAGGAGAAGAATAGCAGACCGTCTTGATTACTCTTTAGCTTTTGACTTTTTCGTATTATTCATTGTTCTTTCAATTATTCATTCAAATTAATCATCTCAATCGAGATATGATGTATGCAACAATTAATTCTACAATTGTGCATGGGATTTTCTCCATAGAGATGAGTTAAATCTCTTTTTCTAATTAAGGAATAACGGAGGTTTTGATTCATCTAAAAATTGTAAGATCAAATTAATTTTATTTATTTATCTTATTTACTGGTATTTGCATATTCTCTAATTATAGTGTTTATAGTTGTTTTATTAATTGAGTATCTTGGACCCGGACATTGAATTAATTTAGCAACCTAAATGTCAATTAGAGCGTTAAATTTATAATTGTTTAATTGTTCTAAAATAGTGGTAATTGACATTATTGAATTTGTGTCAGGAAAATACGCAGGCTAATTTAAAATAACCCTGATAGTATATTATTTGGTTAGAATATAGCTCATCTAATACGTTAGGTAATTGAAAAATTAAATCTTATGGGCGTACCTAAAATTATTTCTCGATTAGAGTAGTGATTAATAGGCGTACCTTAATTATCGACACAGTAAGGAGAAGTTGACTGTCATCACTTGTTTGGCAGTTATGACTTATTTATTAGTTAATAATTAAAATTACCTTTGTTTCGATGATCAATTAGATGAACTATTACCGAAATTATTTCTTGACTAGAGTTTAGTCATTATTAATTTGGTTTTAATAGTTTGTCATTTAATTCTTAGTCGGTTATCTATTTTTTATTCAAACCGTTTAATTATTGCCATTGCTATAAAAAAACTCTATTGTCAAATTAAATTTCAAAAGAGATAAATATCCCAAATTCCTGTGAATTCGATATTGCTTATCACTATCTACAGGAATTATATTTTATTTGAGCAGTATTTATTATTGCACAGGATCGATAACCTGTTAATTACTCTCTGAAACTAATTAGAACAATTGTAGTAGTAGTATTATGATTTCATCTTAAGCAGCAAAAAGAAGAAGAAAATTCACAAGGAAAGGGCAGTAATAACCGAACAGGGCATTTACGAAATGAGAAGCCCACCAGCCGCTGCCGGCCACTCTTGTTGGAGATTGTGGTTTCATCAGACTTCATTCCAAAAACCGAATCAGAAAAAGAACCAGCCAAACAGGATAGCAATAGTCTTGATACGACATATTAACAGAATCTTTTTTTTTTTGAGTGCAAAGGTCAAACAGGAGCTTCTTGTGTAATTCTAAAACATATATATATATATATATATATATATATATATATATATATATATATATATATAGTCTTTAAACAACATCATTTTTTTTCATCATGTATTTGAGAAGAATCAGATGAAGGGAAATTCAACAAGCCAAACACCAGTATAGTGCATAGTGTACGCACGCTGAGATGGAAAAAGAATTATGTGCCCAGCACTTGAATATGCTTGAGAACTAGTAGCAACTCCAGAGGGCTAATGAAACTACTTGGCTTAGACAATAAATAAAACTCTGTCATTTCGCAAGTTGACCAATGCTCAGACAAACGACACAACCACCCTTCCATTTTTTTCATTTTTGGATGGATAAAACGGCAAAATATATTGAAAGCAACCACCCTTCCATGCTTACAACCACCCATCCACCTTTTTTGATAAAACTTTTGATTGCTTACAATACAACCACCCATCCATGCAGAATAGTTTATAAAACATGCAAATGTCCACTTTTAGGAGAGAAACTCACAGGAGACACAGTAGTTTTACAAATATCAAAACTTGAATGTGTTAATTACTATTTTTTCTTGTCAAAAGCAGCTATATTTTGTGGCTCACATTCAGGACTAAACAGCCGGACAAGCAAAGCTGTAGATGAGCTTGTAGTGATTGCTCCACAGGCAGCCCACCTAAGACTTCGAGGAATTGTAATTCTGGGACCTGAACCACCATCAAAGTCATTTGGATAATTACTACATGGAGATTGAAACGATACTAATTCCAGGCTGCAAAATGATGGGCACTAAAACAAACTCATAATATGCCAAACGAGGAAATATACTTGGAAGTAGGACTGTTTTGAATTTGATCATGTAAAATATAAACAGAAGGATCATCTTCGACAAACCAACATCAACAGGTAGAGATTGCAAAAGACAACGAAATATGGGATATCAAGTTCATACTAAGAGTGTAAATATGTACCAGAAACAAAAGACAGTTCTACAATAAAATTCTTTCTTCCACTTTAAAATTTTATTTTTTTTCCCTGTGTATTTCTTCTTCCATTTTCTTTATCTGTTTCTTTCATTTTTGGTTGGACAGGAGGGGAAGTGGGACAGGGAGAGGGGATCGCAAGGGACAGGGTCTGCAAGTTGTATTGCAATTCCTTGGCATTGGTAAAGGGGAACTTGGAAGCACTTGCTTACATGTTCAAGTTGTTTGAAGAAATGAAAAAAATAAAATTAATTTCAAGAGTAGCATGAATCACCTAAAGCAAATTGCAGGTACCCACAGAGCAAAGAATCAAGATATAAAATCCAATTTGGATTAGGTATTTTTTGGATTGTTTTTAACAAAACTTCAGTGTAGATGTGTTTTCCAGATTAATTAACTTCAGAGAATAGTAAGAAGAACTTCAACATAGAAAGACGAACAGAGCACTAGGGGAGGAAGCATCACAATTAATCAGCGCATACCATAATGCAGGCGACAGAGAACCCAAAATCCTAATGCTCCACCAACAGAGAAAATCCCAGCCGTTTGTCTCATCAACCGGGAACAGGGTTTAGCATCTGATCTCATTAACTCCCCATCAGAAAACCCCAAAAAGCGCCTCAATGCCATAGGCTGGCTAGTTTTTGGCCCAAAATTCCAGTTTTCACCTCTAAACCACAAGTACCAAAAGATTCAGTGCAATACAACTGCAATAACCTTAAGAAAAATGGGGAGAAAAGTCAAATAGTGTGAATGAGAGAGAAGCAAAAGCAGCAAGAACAAAACTTTGACGACTCAAAAGAGAAATTTCGATGTTTTCAAGAAATATGACTTCACTCTGTTAACACTAACTGCATTTTATTTATAGAACTCTCATTAGGACAAACATTTCATGGGAGCATGGGTTTGTTTAATTTGCAGTGAATTGCATTCCTTCTCATATACAGAAGTAACCTCGCATCAGGAAAACCAAGAACCCATCAAAAAAATAAACGGATAAATTTTTTTTGTAAAGTTTCAACTTTGGATAAGCAATGCCATTACAAGCAAAAATTTGACTGGGACATTTCGTCGAACATCTACATAGCAAAACCAATAAAAGAACTACTGACACCCGACAGCTTCATATTTCCCTACCACCTCCAAAAACCCCCCAGAACAAGTAAGGGACACAAAAGGGTTCAGATTTTACCTGTTGAAGCTTGTAGCAGAAGGGTTTATGGAGGGTTTTAAGCTAGCGTTGCTGGGACTTTGCTCACCATTTTTGAGTAGTTGCACTTGTTCTCTAGACCCTTGCTTGGCATTTGCAGATAGAGATAAAACTGGAGATTGGACCTGTTAGCCCGGGTCCAAAAGGAGGAAGCAGGGTTGCTTCTGTTGGATCCAAGGAAAAGTCCAAAACGTCCTTTAGAATCTTGGACAAGAAAAAGAACCCATCTCATGACTTGTTTTTGTTCATTAGAGGCTTGATCAGCTGCCTTATGAAGCTTCAAGGAAATTTCAAAAAAGAGAATGCTTGATGCTTTTTTCCCCTTTTCTTGATTCTTCAACAGATTTTAAAGTACTCCAACTTTCATTCCAACATATTTCATTTGCTTGTTGGTTTTGAGCACATAACCCTACACAGATGATGGACGAATCAAACCAGCCTAATAATTTTGAGTCCAAGCTAATTTTGAATAGTGGAAGAGGCTCTTTTAGGACAGAAAAAGGCCCTAGTGAAAAAATTGGAATATAGCGCTAGCAGGTAGTCCAACTGATGATTCTGTAGCCTTATAATTATCAGTAAATTTCGTGATTAATCCCATGTATTATTTTGCTGTATATTCTTGGGGTAATACTCTACATAACCTTAGCAGATTAGTCTGGTCGAAAGACTAGAATACCTTCAAGTAAAAAAAAAAAATTAAAGAAAAATTGGACCATTGGATAACCAATTTGGTAGAAAAATAGCACGCCCATATTAGAACCTGGTGAAGATTGAAGCCTTAAATAAAGCTCAAAGCTCAGAGCATTTAATAGTTGCATTGTACGTAGAATTTCTTTTTTGCTTCTAAATCCCAAATGAGCTCAAGAATTGAACTAGGACAAATCACAGTTTTAGGCTGTCATCCACTCTATCACTAAAATTTAGGCCCTTTAAGATTTTGCAAACCATGGCTGATCTTATTTCTCAAGTGGATCTAGAATGAGCTTAGTTTGTTTAAAATCGAGTCTAGCCCATTACATCATCAATCATGTTTGAGAGAGTCATGGGTCATTTTCTACAGCAAGTTGCTCTTTTGTGCAATGCTGATATGATAATTTATTTGAGATTCGAGTTGATAAAGTAATTAATTCTACGGTGGGAAAGTGATGTTTGGGGTGCCAAAATTGACCAGCAAGAGGAGCCCTTGCCCCGTATTTAATACTACTCCTTTTGCAGATGGAAATATATATATATATATATATATATATATATATATATTGTGGGAAAACATAAGCATTGCGTTCACATTAATATCACCATGCCAGTTTGAACCAGAACAAATGCGCACTGCATACTTCATTGCTTGTTGTTCCAAATTGAAATCCTCATCCTTCAAAAAAAATTTTTTTTTTTTTGAAATCCTCATCCGGTGACTACAATAATGGATCTTGTCGACTTTAATATTGTGATTGGGTTTAGATTAAAAAAAAAGTATATGTTTTAGATAGGTATAATTGATCTCGAATTAGACGCTAGTCGTAGTATTCTTGCATTACAATTCATCAGAAACAAAATGGTTCTTTTTTTTTTTTTTTCCAGATATGTGAAAGTGGGGAAAGACTTTCGAACCTAAGACCACCTACCATCAACCATCAATTTAGTATTATTGGCAGAATTTTGTGAAATTCAATTCATCCAGGGTTAGAATTTGGTGGTTCAGGTTAAAACTACAGCCATTTTGGTATCAATCTTTGATAGACACAAAACATGCTCCTATTTTTTTGCTTTCAACCCCCGGTATCCTAATTCTCAGTGAAATTAATCTGGATTCGATTTAGGGAGCGTCTGCAAAATTCATTCGACTCTTATTCGAAAGTGAAGGTCTTAATTAAAGTTTTTCAAAGCGTCTTTCAGCAAAAGTTGAATTTGCGACCTTCCGTTGACAAACATGCTCTTATTACGGTACCTAACCCTCTGCCAAACGTAACATAATTTTTTTTCTTTGGTAAGCTTCCCCCTTTGTCTCATTAGTTTGTTTTTCAGTGACAAGGAGAGCCCCTTCAGCCTTTTTGTAAAACAAAATAAGTTTTTACTTGCAAAATTTCTTGAAGATTTTTTTTTAAAAAAATTTTTCACATTTAACTTAAGGAATCTTAAACAGCTTTAGGAATGCTGTGAGCCCAAAAAAAAAAAAAAAAAAGGCAACAACAACAACAAAAGAAAAAAAAAATGAAGACGAAGAAGAAGTGCTGTGTGACGGAGCATTCAACGAGGCCTTACTTTTTGCTAACTTTGGATCATTTCCCACCGATGAATTAATTAATTACCATGTCAGCTTTAATCACAAAGTAAGGTTGTGTTTAGATTGCACTTTCCGTCATTTTTCATGAAAAAATTACTGTAGCGATTTGATATATGTGAGGGAAAAAGGTGATAGAAAAATGTAATTACGAAAAATGAAAATATTTTCAGACGGAAACAAGCATTCCAAACAAGGCATTAAATTACCAATACCGGCATTGCACAAAAGAGCAACGTGGTCAGAAATTGGCAGTAGAACTATAATTACCAATACCGCCTCTGTTTGGATCGTAATCTTCCACTGAAAAAATTTACGTTTTTCATGAATACATTTTTCAATTATATTTTTACGTCGTATATATCAAATATTATAACATTTTTTTTTAATAAAATTTTTTTAAAAATAACAATCCAAACGGTGATGTGTACCCATTTCACCAACAATAGTAGTAGTAACCAGTAAAACATCTCTCATAGTATATGTTTCACCATCAAGAAGTCGACAAGAAATTTTGTGCAAGTTGCTCCACTTTCTCGCATGTTTGCTGCTAAAGTCAAAAAACTAGTAGAAAGAGTTGAATGTTTGTTAAAAATCTCAAAAAAGTCGGACTCTTATGTTAAAAATTTGTTCGGGTCTAATATGTCGTACTAGTGAGTTGACAAAGTAACCCGACGATGCTTTGCTTAATCCATAAGCTTTCGTAGCAGTAATAGTCGTAGAGTGCCTTCTTGCGTCGTTTAGTGGCATCTTCCGAGACACGTGTACGCCCATGGACCTCCACAATTTTGTACCGGGAAAAATCAACTCACCTAGCCTTGAATCCTTTTGTGAAGAAGTTTCTGGGCACTTTCCTCATGCCTCACGCTGCTCGATTACTCAAACAAAATGCTCACCTCTTCTCGAATGCCTTCGCGCCACGCGCCTCCGGTTAATCGGTCCGGTTCTCAACCACCACCTCCCCCGAAAATATACTTAAATAGACTTATCAGCGAGTTGGATAAAGATTAAGATTGAATATTTTATATTCGAGCACGTTTATTTGTATTTGTTTCGAATTCGACTAGCATATTTGAGGGATTTTATACTTGGTCTCTCGAATTGGAATTTGATCGGATTTAGACACGAGTCATTCGTAATCATATTCAAAATTATGTATTAATATGTATATATGTATCTTATGACTATTAATTCATTTAAATGGATTTGGATAAGATATGGATCGAAATTCAATATTTCATATTCGATCAGCTTTTTTATTAAGAAAAATGGGTTCGAATTCTAATCTGATAAATGAATTATATCCATATTTGCATCCTGACAAAAAAAAAAAAAAAGGGCCACATTCGGGTTGGGTTTTGATCCGGAGTCTGTGGACCCGAACGTTGACAGGCCCGGTCGTAAACTCGCTACATGTCCCACGGAACCTCACGCTCCTTAAATGCGAGTGGGATACTGTCGCAGCATTTGACACTGTAGATAGGATATTGGACAACGTAGCATGGGCGCTATCTATGTCCAGTTTTCGTTTTGTTCGGTTACTTTTTCCTTTTGTGTTTAGAATGAATTAGTGGTAATTTTTGTTTTTATTTTATTTTTCAATAAGTGAGGAGTGGGACTTAATAAATAAAAAAGAAAACATAAAATTCAACCCTAGATATCGATTTCAACTTTAACCACTAAATCATAATTAATGTTTCATCAGTGTGGTAGTTTTTGTTTGTCGAAATTTTTTTGCCCATTTATCCCCTTGCATTTGTTTGCTGAGTTTTGTGCTGCTCAATGAGCAATTCGCATTGGTTAAGAGTAGGGTTACATATTAATATCTTTGGGGGAAAAAAAAGCATGAACATAAATTTTGGAAATATTAGATGGAGCCAAGATAATAGTATAAAATTATATTTTTAAATGGAAAATTGAATATGAAATAAGGAAGTGCTTGGTTCACACTCTAGAATCGGAATCAGAATCAAAATAATAAAAACTCTAATATGAGTTTGGTTTGCAGTTTAGTTTGAAAGTAGAATGAGTAGTTTTATCCTATTAAAGTGTTAATCAATTTGAAACTTCAAATAAACTTGGAAAATAATAGGAGACAACATTTAACATTTTCATTCTCAATAATTAATTTTCATAGGCCCGATTTTTTTATTGCGATGCATTTATGAAAATAATACTTTTCGAATGTTTGATAATTTTCATAATTTAAGGAGTCTAATTTTAGTAATTTAAAAACACTGAGTGTGTTTGAATTGCTGAATCATTTTACGTAATATTTCGTTTGGATTATAAACATATTTTTTAATCTATCTTTTTATATTTTTAAATAATTTTTTATTTCATATACATAATATTATAAAAAATATTATAATAATTATTTCAAATAATATTCTATCCCACCGCACTGTTAAAAGCAATTGTTTCTTCTTTACAAGTCAAGTAACTGCAAATGTTGATGCCATCCTCGGATTTTCCTTGGGAAATATTTTATTATTATTTTTTAATGCAGTTTTCTTAAGAATCCATCCAAGATTAGTATTAAAAGCTGCTCCTCCACTCTTTTTCTTTCTGAAATATCTAAGCCACTCTCTTTGCCAGTGGACCGTCCTTCCGTCCAACAAAATACAAGTCTACTATCAAGTGAGTATTTCAAAGCTTCTTCTTTCACTCTACTGTCACTGGTATTATTCAATCTATCTTTTGAGTTTTGCAAGATCCCATCGAGCATCAAGGTTTGACCTTTAATCTTTCTGACTAATTTTGTTCTTAAGAGTATGTGCTGATCATCATCGGCCGCTGGTTCTGCAGATTATTGGTAGTCTGAAGTACTCGTGAATGATGAGACCATCTCGATTTTAGTTGCTTGCGACTAATTAGCCTACCCTTTTCCGAGTCTTGGTTGAATGTTTGGTATTAGCTTTCTTGATCTGTAGTTTGTGTTCTTGTTCCACCCCAGATCGTGTTTTCCTGTTTCTTGTTTGGGACACAGCAAAAGGTCTTTCACCCCTAGTAATTTTTTTTTTTTTTTTGGTTTTCATCAGTTAATCGTAGTTGCACAATATGGAGCATATA